AGCTGAGAGTAGAACCCGGCACACAGTGGTTGGGGGCTTACTAGGGCATTAATCTCCTTCAAAAACGCTTGACACAGCAGTTGAAAACTTCTCGTTGTGTTTATGAGTACCCACCACATGTCGGAATCTTGAGACAGAATTCCAGTTGAAACCACCGTTTACCTCGAAGCGAACCTCTGCCATTTCCATCGATAGGACCGTACCCGAAGGTGCGGTGTTGCTCTCTCTCACAACTCAGTGACCGAAATATCAGAAATTTATTTCAAAGTAAACTGTGATCCTAATCGCGAGTGAATATCGAAATTCCGACGCATGGCGGCCACTCCGAAACCCCAAAATGAGGACCACTAAAATTCCTTGGACCGGCAACTACAATGATCTCAGTACGATGAATCTTGAGCAAGCTCTAATCTACAAATTTGGGATACCTGCTAAATAGCAGCGGAAGATAGCCAGCTGACATCACATATTAAGCTGCAGACTATTGTTAATTGACCAGTTTGTTTTCGGTCATGGTAAGTAAAAAATGTGAAAAATATCTGAACAGCAACCCTGCATCGACTCAGTAGCTTTTAGTGAGCTTGCCAAAATGACGTCATCGAAAGTGAGTTCTAGGATTAAACGAAACACAAGCCTTAGGTAATCGGAGCTGTTTACAGCGAATGGTGCAGAATAGCGAGTTAGAGCCACAGGATGTTTGAATCTTTATATATATATATATATATATATATATATATATATATATATCCCAATCTGTTAACAGACATTGTGTCGTCAGAACCATGGCAGAAGAAAAAGGTGAAGAAGATGTGAACATGAACTGCGATTAAAAAATATGGGAAACGATTTTTTGGTTTTACACACGCCATTTTATATTGTTTGTCTTGTTTGTGAGTTTTTGTGTGCATCAAAGGGATAGTAAAATGGCAGAACAACATTGACGCCACTGATGTCTGTTGCGGGCCATGACGTCTGATGTTTCCAACCACTGAGATTCAGCATAACGTGGTCCCCAACCTGGAAGACGGACTGGTCCGACTGCCGCCAAATTTGAGGTTACCTTCTTCATGATCCTTCGCCACGTCATTGGCTGTCCACCGCGGCACTTTTTCCAATCGCTCCCTGGGAGTGCAAATAGCGCTCGACGTGGAAGGCCATGGGTTAGCATGTGCAAAACGTACCCGAGTCAACGCATGCGATGTCGGAGAATGACATCCTGAAGACTGGCATTATTCGCCCCAAGTACGCGGCCCCGCACATCTGCGTTGCTTATGTGGTGTTGCCACCACACCCGAGCAATCCCACGTAGACAGCGATTGTCGAAGACTGACAGCCGCTTCATATCTTCCGAGCGAATAGGCCAAGTCTCACAGCCGTACAAGAGTACTGCACGGACGAAATCTTTACTTACGGGGTGCACCAAGGGCAGAGTATGCTGAGTCAGCTGAGGCCAACAGGAAGCATAATCTAATAATGCAGACATTTCCCTTCACGAATTGCGATAGAAAGAAAACTATTTTTTACATAAGTTACTGAATTCAACAAGTTCACCTATTCTCTTCAGCTGTTTGCATACACTTAGTGGAATAAACTGGTTACATAGCAAAGACAATCAGAGTGCGATGTTAACGGCAAGATTTCAAAGTGGTCTAAATCCCATAGGCTCACGTTACCCGTTCAGAGGAAAATGTAAACAAGAACATGGGCCAGAGGTGAAAAATTAATTTCGTTGATTCCTATTCAGGCCTGCACAATCACATAAGGAAAATAGCAGTGGGAATACAATCTACCGGATTAATTTAATTGAGTCGAATCACGTGTCCGTCGGGTTCGTGAGCCAACGAGCAATCTAAGTCAAGGTGACTGGGTTTTTATTCCAGCACAACTGGCTGCCGATTCTTCAACATTGCCGGCCAAGACAGCTGCAGAGTGCGGATGAATTCCTTGTGAGAACGTAACTGAGGTTGAAGCAATCAAAGACCGATTGAATATCTCGGAATATGCTTGGAACCGATTGGGATCTCATGATTTCAGAAGGATTTGTCAAAATAAAATCCTAAAGAAACCGATTTGTATTCACTTCTTTCTGGAATCACGAATCCTGATTGCTTCGGCTGTTGCAAGCATACGGAGGCGTAAGGCTCTCGATTGCAACGTCGGATTCTGTAGATTATCCGGAAGTCACGATTCACTACTATTTGAGACCCAGTGTCAGCAAAGTGGGCCAAAATGGAGCTATTAGTAGCCCCGGTATCACCTCGACGTAACCAACGTGGGTGATGCTCGATGACGCGTTTGCCAGGTGCTGCACCGCTCGACTGACATAAGTGGCGCCACAGGCGCACTCGAATGGATAGATAATCATTGAAGCGGTCAACGTCGGCAGTGTGTCCTTGTTTTACGCACGAATGAGCGGTTCTGTGGAGAACGTGCACTTCAGGGTCGCCGCTGGGAAAGTAGATTTAACTGCAGATGACAGGATCCTACATAAGCGTTCTGCGGCCTCATTTCCTTTGAAAAGCAGTCTTACGAATAATCCTTTTCCTCTCTAACTTAAAAGCCTGTACCGGATTGTGCTTCTGCTGAATGTTGTTAAAAATGAATCTCTCAGCGTACCCATTCTCAAGCAGCATATGCTGAATAAATGCTAACTGCTCATTCAATGTGCTTTCTGTGCAGATCTTACGTCCCCTTGATGTTAGACAGCGAATCACATTTCGCTTAGATCGCAGAGAAACAAAGCTGTTGTGGTTGGTATATTGTCCGCTGCACCTATGTTTCCGATAGACACGAAGTTGAATGGAGCCGTCAAGAAACGGCAACCGGTTACTTGTTTCCTACTCACACCTAAACTGTATCGCTGCGTGGGCCAGGAAAAAGTGGTCGAGAGTTTATCTTGGTTGACGCACTTATCAGCCACGACAAATATATCATATATGTAACGGTGGTAATATTCCAAGGTGTTTATCTCCTTTTATAGCCTGGTGCTCTCTAACTGCACTAAGAAAAGGTCAGTCAACAGTGGACCGAGTGAAGATCCCACGTCAACACAATCATTCTGCCGGTAGTACTTACCAGTAAATAGGAACTACACGTTCCAGATACACCGCAAAAGAAGGCTCTTTAACTCACGCACTGGGACACACGGCTGTATTTGTGAATACCGCTAAATGGTTTAAGGTAGGGAAGCAAGAACTATCCGTAAGACTGCTTTTCAAAGGAAATGAGGCCGCAGAACGCTTAGGTAGGATCCTGTCATCTGCAGTTAAATCTACTTTCCCAGCGGCCACCCTGAAGTGCACGTTCTCCACAGAACCGCTCATTCGTGCGTAAAACAAGGACACACTGCCGACGTTGACCGCTTCAATGATTATCTATCCATTCGAGTGCGCCTGTGGCGCCACTTATGTCAGTCGAGCGGTGCAGCACCTGGCAAACGCGTCATCGAGCATCACCCACGTTGGTTACGTCGAGGTGATACCGGGGCTACTAATAGCTCCATTTTGGCCCACTTTGCTGACACTGGGTCTCAAATAGTAGTGAATCGTGACTTCCGGATAATCTACAGAATCCGACGTTGCAATCGAGAGCCTTACGCCTCCGTATGCTTGCAACAGCCGAAGCAATCAGGATTCGTGATTCCAGAAAGAAGTGAATACAAATCTGTTTCCTTAGGATTTTATTTTGCCAAATCCTTCTGAAATCATGAGATCCCAATCGGTTCCAAGCATATTCCGAGATATTCAATCGGTCTTTGATTGCTTCAACCTCAGTTACGTTCTCACAAGGAATTCATCCGCACTCTGCAGCTGTCTTGGCCGGCAATGTAGAAGAATCTGAAGACTCACTAACGAGACTTGGCTAGTTAGGCTAGTGATTACATTTTCCCCTGAACGAGTAACGTGACCCTATTGAACTTAGACCACTTTGAAATCTTGCCGTTAACATCTCACTCTGATTGTTTTTGCTAGGTAACCAGTTTATGTTACTAACTGTATGTAAACAGCTGAAGAGAATACGCGGAAAGGTTGAATTCACTGCATTCTGTTAAAATGTTTAATTTAATCAGTTGGGGTTAAATGGCGCGTAGATACACATAACTGTTATTAGTGAACTGGCAGCATCCTAAACGAATAACCCAGATCTGTCATGCTATACTTCTATTCGCAACACTCTTTTAGACCGGAAGCATACTTGCATGCATCACAATTGTATCCGAATATGCAAGTATGCGGTTTAGCTGCTGTGGAACTGTTGTATCAGTAGTAGTTTTGTACTTCGAACGCTAATACATTTTATACCGACAAATTAGTGCACCATCCTTTTATGATTGAGATTATAAGTAAGCCCACGGCGCTGTGCTCCTTAGGAAGTCACCTTTGGAAACGTTATGAAGATACCAGACAGGACAGCCTTCACCACATGCAAATAAGCTTATAGTAATTTTAGAGCCCCATTCCCATTTCATCTCAAGTTTCACCATCGTATTTGTTCAGTCAAATGCACTACATTTTTAACTTTGCTTGGTACCTGAAATCCACCTAGTTCAACGAGATTTCTCATAAGCGGTTACTCCACTGTCTTATGCACTAATATACGAGTATGCTATATTGTCCGTTAGCTAACCAATTCAGTCATCCCGTAATCGTAACTCCCAGTAAGCTGAGGTATGCAGAACATAACGCGGCCGTAACCACTAGATATTATTATCAGTCTCGCCGCTATGGTTCATCGCTTGAGATTATGCCATGCAAAATCAATGAAATATCCGATGTTTTCGGGTATGCCTACGCTTCTCAGAATAGGCAGGTTCTACAATCCAATCGAACACAAGCTATTGATTGTCGTTGCAAAGGGACATCATCGCTAGGCAGCAGTAGTAGGTGGCGAATCGATACTTGATGGAAGTAGACACGTGGGGGACAGATGGAGTAAAGCCTCAGCCCTTTGATTGGTTCCGAGTAGTTTATGATGAAGGTTTCAGCTCTGCCTATGGCCATTCACAATAAACAAACTGCCACCTGGGCATTGGTGACCGACAAGTCAGCCGCGAATTTTATCAATTGGCGCAAATCCATCCTGCATCGAACAGACGGTTGAATGCGTTTGATTCAACACATGTAGGAATAGGTGGACCGAACCTTACAGCTGAAACTTCAACTAGGAGTTATTTGCTTATTACAGTATGAAGCGGATCAAAACTCTTGAGTAAGTTCAGCATAAGTAAGATTACAACGTTCTATTTTCAAACGATTTCCGAATTAGCTATTTTTGCGTTCCATTAATTGTTTATCTTTTTCGCTGTTACCGATCATAGTCAATTTGGAAAGACGTCGGGAAATGACGGGCCCTCACACATGTGTGACTAGTGAGGTAGACATGTCACAGTGCACTGGGCGTATTTCAAAAAATACACACATCCACGCGCTTTACCTAATGTATAAGACCAATAGGAGAAAATAACCGTCTTGTCCCTTTACCAGTCATCGTCGTATGTAGGTGGTCAGGTCCCACATATTTTGGGTTTGTGCTTAAGTATTCAAGTTCAACTTCAGTTGGGACCGGAACGATAGGATAATCCTGTGAACGTTCCTTCGTTTGCCTATCGTCGCATCGGGAATTGATAGGTCTGCTTGACGTGTTGAAAAGCCTAAAACAGAGACTGCATCACACCCTGTCCAACCAATTACTGCCCACATTTTCCTGCCCAGCAATCCCTTGCGGGCCGGTTTATGTTAAGCAATAGAATGAGGGGAAAGCTAAGAAAACAAGAGGAGGAATATCGGCTAAATAATGATAATACTAAGGTGTGAGAAAAAATTTAAAAAAACGAAGGGCAAGTTGTCGATGCAAGTCAATTAGGAAAAGGAGAAGTTTCGGTACTGCCACCCAAGAGCATCTAAACGACGCTCCAAACCCTCAACCGTAGACTCCCTAACGACGTGCTCCGGAAGCAGTTCCAACATTCAATAACCCGGCGCGACAAGCGAGTTTCCGTCCTTACCCGGTCAGAACGTAGATTGTGCAGCTTCAACGGGTGACCTCGGAGACTAGGCAGCTTGGCGGGACTAAATAGCCAAGACAAATCTGGACCGATCTTCGGTTCGCCAGTGCCAACATTTCTTTTTTAATATTCTTGCTTTCAAATGGCCTGGCAACAAGGTACAACCTTCACAGCAATATCTACAAATTGTGTGTACAAGCTAGACTGGAAGGCTAAACAGAGTACCAGAATTGGCGACATCCAATTCCGGTGAGATTCGTCTTGGGAATCAGACGTTGGCCCTGTTCGGAATTGGCATTATGTGTTGGTACAAAAGTCGACTAAGAGAAACACACGTGTTTCAAGTTTGCTTTGAAGTACCGGCTGTGTGGTTGGAGGTTTGCGACACGCAAGCTCCATTGTGAACTCGATTCACTTTGAGGTAGACCTCGGTCATTCTGATCCCAAGAATCGTATTCGAATTGTTGGTGATTCGGTGTCGCTCCTCCAAACACTGAATACGAAACCTTCCGAATGTCATGACCACTTATTTACCAAGGAATTTCAAATGAAATGTTGCCCTAATTCCTAAGTTGGATGCCCTAATGTGTAATAGTATTGGATCAGTTTTCTTCCATTCAGCTGGCTTGCGTCGCAGTTCTTTCTGCTACCCGCTAGTTGAGTGCCACGCAACTGTTGAATATTAATAGTTAAAAATAAACTGCCTCACATTTGGATTCGATATCCAACTTTGAATTGCTCACTACTCTACCGAGCGCTGCCTATGGATCTTAGTGGAATAGTGATCAAGGCATCAGCTGCTAACCGCCAGGCCCCTGTTTCTGCCCCAGCTCAGGCTATTTGCATCCTAGTCCAAAGCAGGACGAAACCGGTTATGGGGTGTCAGTTTTGGGAGGAGCAACAGCGAAACACCTGTAAAATGCGCCTCTGTTGACACCCATTCTCCAAGTGTATTCCTACGCAGATGCCAGCATCCACGCTTGGTAAAGTCATCCGTTCTTCCACGTACCTAATCATTGCGCCTTACTATGAGATTCGTTAGGAAGCGAAAATCGAATCACGTTCGAGCACTTACGTTCTACTGCCATGACCTCAAAGGCAACTGCAGGAACGTCCAACATGGTTAACACTTGCCTTACTGCCATGGTCGATGTCATATTGTAGGGAGAACGACGCGGAGTGGGGCAGAGCGTGTATTGCCACAAGAACGTGCCACTGACAACTCACAAATCCGTACAGCTTTGGACCGTGTTTCCTTCCCACTACGTAACACTGATGAGGATTTTGTGCCTACGAGTTTAGGCTTCGAGACAACCCCACCATCTTTCCATCCCGTAGTTCCGCTTCGCCATACCCAATTCTGGCCGGCCATGAGTCGTTCGAAAGGACGCGATTTGCTCTTCCGTGGCTGCATCACTCGACCCGCGTCCACTTCTGTCGGCATCGCTAGCGGAGTACTTGTCTGATTCACTGCGTTCTCGAAAAATGCCTCCTCCATTGTTCTTGGCGCAGGATCATAACCAGATGCCGCCCGTGATCCGCTGTCGGCTTAATCCGCAACGCTCACAGAGTCTTGTCTCATCCATTGCGCCTGTTGTTAATTCTCTACAATCCCATTTTTGTTGTCTTTCCGGTTCACGAGTAGTCACTGGTTTCCGCCGCCCTACAATATCGGTGCCTGTTCGTACTTCTTCCGGTGTTTTCCAAGGTCTTATAGGTCCTGATATTAAGGCACTAATGGGCTACTTAGAGAAATGCAAAATCGTTGCATCAGAAAACATGCACTCTTTCAGAATAGGTTTTGCGCTGCAACCTCACTACTTACATGGTCTAGTTGAACTGAAAGCATCGATGCCGGTGTGACAGTTGATGCGGTTTAACTGGACTTTTCAAAGCGTTTGATTGTCGGAATCGGTGCTCTGGTCCTCGGTTGGATAGACAACCTTTTACTCCAATGACACCCGATTGTGAAATTTCGCAACGTCTTCGCTGACCCCATCAATGAGGAATGGCACAGGTCTCAGTAGAGGGTCTACGTCTATTCCTTATTTACATAAAAGATCTCGCGTGAGTGATCGTCTCAAATTTCCTACGCTTCGTTGACGCTCACAAAAGTGGCCGGGTGACCACGCAGCATTGTAGCACTACCTCGACAATGCTTTTGAGTAGGCGGTCAAGAATCTGCTATATTTCGATCACACCAAGTGTTTGATATTAAACATGCGCCATCACATAAACCTGAGGAGGCGGTGCAGAAGTGGGTACTCTTGTGCAACTTTTCTCCCAGAGTACAGCAACTATAACTGCCCCATGTTGCCTCGTTGTCCCCATTCAACTCCCACTTGCACTACTATTATTCAGCGGCGTATCTGCTGAATAACAGCACAAACTCACATATCTTTTGATATTACAGTTTTACCCCCACCATCCAACTACTTTTTTACTCGGCATAAATCAGTGTGAATCATAGTTCATTGTTCAAGCTGAGGGTTCGTGTTCTGCAGCGCGTTTCTGTTGAATTCGGCCTAGGAGGGGCGGTGCAACCCAAATTTCGCTGTTAGCCTCAGGACGGAAAAGCACCAGAAAACTTGGTACAATGCGGGTCTATTGCGGAAGGCATTCGGATGATTTAGCTCCTCCATCTTCTTTCAGACGCTCGTCCATTCTAGATCCCATTCTGAACTTGCTACCCACGCCTGGGAGTCCTGACGAAAGCACGACCTTGTCACACCTGGAATTCCACCAATTAGTGCAGGATTTGTTCTAGTTCCCTTATAGAGACTGAAAATGCTTGTAGTCTGTAGTGGACAAGATCTGCACTAGCGTGACGATTTGATATAACATATCAGATCCTGCGAATACCAGCCACGTTTGCCGTCACCTACTGAGTCACAATATCAAACTGAAAGGCTATCAAGTACCGTTTGCCGCAGAGTGTAGCCTGATAGAAGGCTAACGAAATTGCTTTTCCTTTCAAGTATACTAAAGTGGAAGGGCGCTCATCACTTATTTTATTCGTTCCCTCACAATACTGGTAATCCTAAGATAGCGTGGTGATGCAGTCCTACTTTTAAATTACGTGACATAGCTCATCCTCACTGGGCGTCCACGTAACACAATCAAACAACCTGTTTCGTTGAATTTTCTGGTGATCCAACCAACGCTTGCTTTTTTAACTGACGTTCGTTTTTATTCTGAACTATCCACCCTACATTACTCTGGGACGTGCCAAGCTTTAAGGCCTTTATTAACCTAAATAAGCCAAGTTCCATTGTCAGTCCTTCCGAAATTATCGATTCCATAACATTTGTGACATAAAGAAAAAGCACAATGGACGATCAACAATGAACAATAAAGTTATACGGGTTAAGAAGCATTGCTTTACAAGTCCCGTTGGATAGTTGGTGGGGAAATCGAAATAATAATAATGATGATGATAATAATAGTAAAACGGTTAGTAGTTTAAATATGAAAACAAGGACTTATTGTTTGCTCCGTTGTAGTCCTGCAATCCGCTTAGATTCACAACACCTACAGTTAACATCAAATAAATACATGGTGAACTGCAGATGTAGGATAGAGACGTAGCGTGTCGTTAGCTCGCAAGAGCTGATCGCTTACCTCATTTGTATCTCGGAGTGATGACGCTAATCTTTCACTCAGATGGACTGTACGGGATCCAAGTAAACACTGGACAAAGGCCGCAAGAAATATTGCTAAGTTTGGAAAAAGCGTTTTGAAAGCCTTTAGACAGGTCCAGTCGATACCAGAGACAGTTTTATCAGATCGTTTGTACTTTGCTTGCTTGGGGTAAAGGTAACGCTGGGTAGATCTTTTAAAGTTGCTTTGGGGAGCAGAATCAATGTAGTTGTGCCCACGGAGCCAAACTGTAGTAGCAAGGTGTTCGCAGTATCCACAGCAGTTGTCGTTAGGCCCCTACCCGTCTTGTGTGAAGGGCATCACTAGCTTAACTTTTCTGATACTGTTCAAATCCTTATAAGGCTGTTTTGTGCTACTCGCACACTTGAGTATCATAGCCTCTTGTCATTCTTAATTGTCTTCTCTGATGTGTGATGTGCAGTAGTTTCTAGCTAGTTAGTGATTCTTCCACGTTTTAGCACGCGGGTTTTGCGCATGTTGCCTAAAAATCTCATTGCTTCATTTGATCCATTTACGCTTCCGGCATCAGATCCAGATGTTAGTG